GAATGATCCCCCTTTGGAACTGTGTCTGCAGCACCTGGAGGGGCCAGAACATCCCAGATGGGAATGATCCCCCTCTGGAACTGTGTCTGCAGCACCTGGATGGGCCAGAACATCCCGTATGGGAATGATCCCCCTCTGGAACTGTGTCTGCAGCACCTGGAGGGGCCAGAACATCCCAAACGGGAATGATCCCCCCTCTGGAACTGTGTCCAGAGCACCTGGAGGGGCCAGAACATCCCAGATGGGAATGATCCCCCTCTGGAACTGTGTCTGCAGCACCTGGAGGGGCCAGAACATCCCAGATGGGAATGATCCCCCTCTGGAACTGTGTCTGCAGCACCTGGAGGGGCCAGAACACCCCAGATGGGAATGATCCCCCCTCTGGCACCTGGAGGGGCCAGAACATCCCAGATGGGAATGATCCCCCTCTGGAACTGTGTCCAGAGCACTTGGGGGGGGCAGAACATCCCAAACGGGAATGATCCCCCTCTGGAACTGTGTCTGCAGCACCTGGAGGGGCCAGAACATTCCAGATGGGAATGATCCCCCTCTGGAACTGTGTCCTGAGCACCTGGGTGGGCCAGAATTCCCCCCAACCCCCCCCATTTGGAAATGACCCCCCCCACCGGCTCCTCCGAATCCCTGTTTTATTTATTCCCACGTTTTCTGCCGCTGCAGGGGCCGGGTACGGGAGCTATGGCTACGGAGGGAATTCCGCCACCGCCGGCTACAGTAAGTGGTTGTTGTGAGGAGTGTTGGGATAGGAGGGAAAAATCCAGGAACGTTGATGGGGGAGAGCTCAACTTCCAGCTGTGCGGTGGGAATCGCCCCCCCCCTCGCTCCGGAGTCCCCGGTGCTCCTGCTGGATCCAAATCCGGGCGTTTTCCCCCTGGGAATGGCCCCAGGGGACTCTGCTCACGCTCGGCTCCAGCCCCGGAGGCGACTCCGTTCCGGAGCCTCGTGTCCGCGCGAGGAAATCGGGATTTGCCGCGGAAGGGGAATAAAAACCCGCCGTGGGAAAGGGGACGTGGAGGGGAATCGAGGAAACGAGCCCGAAATAACGGATCCCACTAAAACCCAGGTGCCTCCAGGGGCTCTGGGCAACCCGGCCATGGAACGTGGGTCATCCCGGTCATTTCACGCGGAATTCCAGGAGCGAAGCCCGCGGGATTTCACTCTTTGGCTCCTTTTCGACCAAATCTCCCCCGTCTCTCTCTCCGGATCTGGGGCGTCGGTTGGGTTCTGGTGGCTTTTGTTCCTCCAAAGGAAGTTTAGTTTGGGACGTGCCCAGTTTTCTGTGGAACGAGAACTCCCCAAAGTTCGGGAATCGGGCGGGGAAGGAATCACTTTGGGAGCTTGGCTGTGGAACCCTTCACACGTGGAATTAGCCCCGGATTGACTCCGATCCCGGATGGAATCACCGCAATTCCCGGAAGATAAACTGTGGAGCCATGGAGTCTTTGTTTCATGGGAATACCGCTGGAATCATGGGAATCCTGCTGGAATCATGGAGGTCCTGCTGGAATCACAGGGGTCTTACTGGAATCATGGGAGTCCCGCTGGAATCACGGGGGTCCTACTGGAATCATGGGAGTCCCATTGGAATCACGGGGGTCCTGCTGGAATCATGGGAATACCGCTGGAATCGTGGGGGTCCTGCCAGAGTCACAGGGGTCCTGCTGGAATCACGGGGGTCCTGCTGGAATCACGAGGGTCCCACTGGAATCATGGGAATACTGCTGGAATCACGGGGGTCCTGCTGGAATCGTGGGGGTCCTGCTGGAATCACAGGGGTCCTGCTGGAATCGTGGGGGTCCTGCTGGAATCACAGGAGTCCTGCCAGAGTCACAGGGGTCCCATTGGAGTCATGGGGGTCCCACTGGAATCATGGGAATACTGCTGGAATCACGGGGGTCCTGCTGGAATCGTGGGGGTCCTGCTGGAATCACAGGAGTCCTGCCAGAGTCACAGGGGTCCCATTGGAGTCATGGGGGTCCCACTGGAATCATGGGA